TGTGTTTCCGACTGCCATTGTGTTGAACGTCTGGGGCATATCGTTAATATATAGCAGATAGAGTACAGGCCCTAAGACACTGCCTTGTGGTACTCCAGCACATATTTTCTTTAGGTCAGAGTAGGCATCTTCTTGACGAATTCGGAATTTGCGATCTGATAAGTACGATTGCAGTATCAGGTAGTACTGCTTAGGTCGGATTGAATTCAGCTTGTGCAGTAAACCTTTGTGCCAGACCCGATCAAATGCTTGCGCTACGTCCAGGAATATCGCAGAGCAGATTGCTTTTCTTTCTAGTGATTTTTCGATTGTATTTGTAATGCGATGTACCTGATCCATGGTTGTATGTTTATTGCGAAAGCCAAATTGGTGAGTTGGCACTAGTTGGTACTTATCTATGATAATCTTCAGTCTTTTCAGGATTAACTTTTCGACCAGTTTAGATATAATCGGTAACAGTGCGATAGGACGATACGATTCTACATCCCGATGATCTTTTCCAGGTTTCGGCAGCATTATTATCTCTGAGACCTTCCACACATTCGGGATATACCTCAAGCGAATCGATGCATTTATGAGTTGTCAGTTTAACCAAAGCTCTCCTTTCAAATTTCTTGAGGATCGTCCCTGTTATTAGGTCGTACCCAGGGGCTTTTTTTGCGTTGAGATATGTAATTTCCTCTGCAACCTCTTTTGTTGAGACCAGTGGGATCGTGTCTTCATAGTTTTTTGGTGTTAATTCTGGAAGGATTTCGGTTCCTGGGTTGGGTTGGAACCGTTTCTCAAGGTGATCCGCGAATGTGTCAGCTCTTTCCTGGTTGCTTCTGGCCCACTTTGTGTTATCTTTCCATAATGCTGGCATTTGCATCTTTGGGTGCTTTAGGTATTTAGTTTAGTTGCTTTCCATATAGAGTATTCTGTGGAGCTGTCTGCAGTCAGTCCCGACAGAAAGTTGTTGATGGATTGTTGTTTGATCTCCCTGATTTCTTTGCTTAGTTGTTGGGTTGCCCTATTCAGTGCTGCTTTGTCATGTGGTGCCCGTGTTTGATGCCAGCGCCTTCTCAATTTACGCTTCTCGGCAATCATGTTTCTAATTTCTTTCGGCAAATTTAGACCTTTTAGCCTTTTTCTAACGAGAGGTGTACTTTCCCATGCTGCATTCGGTATAGTTGTGGTAAAATCGTGCACCTCTTGCTCTAATTGTTCAGTTGTCTTAAGTGGAACATGTAAATTGATGCTATTTTCAAGAAGATAGTTGAAGTATTCCCAGTCCGTATGCTTATTGGTAAGTGTTGGGTCTGGGGTTTTGTAATGATTTGATCACTGATTGTAAGCAAGATTGGTGAATGGTCCGAATTTAAATCGTGTCCTTCTTCAATGTTGGTGTAGTTGGCTGATATGTTTTTGGTGATGAAGAAGTCTATCAAGTCTGGTACTTTATCCGAGTCCGTGGGCCAGTACGTAGGCTTACCAGTAGAGATGACTTCACATCCGTATGCGTTGATGGCATTATACAGCTCGCGTCCCGTTGTATGCGTTAATCGGGAGCCCCATCAGTGCAGGTGTTTTGCATTGAAGTCTCCTCCTATGATAAATCGATAATTAAATTTATCAAAAAGTTCTACTGCCCTGCAGTGATCGGATGACCAGGAAGACGATATATTGCGCTCACAGTAAGCTTTTGTTTCGTTGTTGTTATTGTAACGGAAGTAACTTGCATGTTTTCTTCTGCAATTTTGTCTTCTTCGTAATGTTTTATATTTGCTCGGATTATAACAGCGCTACCTCCTCTTGCCTTGTTGGACGGATGTATAGTGTGATATGTTGTATAGTTGAAAAATTTAACATACGTTTCTTTTCAGGCAAATGTCTATTCTTTCTGTACTTAAGACTGCTTGAAGCTCATCTTTGTGTCGAAGCAGTCCATTCGCGTTCCACTCCATAATTCGTAGAGAGCTATCCATTACCTGAGTTTATTTTCTTTTCAAGATTGTCAAGTCGCTGCATGATTAGCACTAACATTGATTCTATCGAGCTCGGTGGAGTTACCGTTTGTTTCTTTCCCTCGGTTACTTGGCTGTAGGTTAGCTGAGGGGCTGAGGTTTTATTTTCCCATGCCTTTGTAGGAGGTGCAGAAGGCGGCTGGGACCGTGGTATTATCGGGTTTTGTGATGGGAGCCGATTCTCTGATTTTTGTTTACTGTTTCTTGATTGCAGAAGCTTTTTAAACACTTCGCATCCTCGATAGTTTGATGGATGTGCTTCCGAGCAGTGGCAGCATTTCGGAGGTGCATTGCGCGGTTTATCGCATAGCTGCGTTTTGTGTCTTCCTGCGCATTTTACGCAGCGTGGTAATTTATTGCAGAAATTGTGTGTGTGGCAATAGGCCTGGCAATTCTTGCATTGAGGAATAATCTTAGTCTTCTTCAACGGTTCGATTTTTACTATACTACTCAGAATCTCTTTGATTCAATATATCCTATTTATGTTTTCATCCCTGTCAAAAGACACAATGAACATATTGAGTGGCTCCCTTTCTGGGAGTTTCTTTAATTTTCTTTCTTCTCTGTTTGCTTTGCTGTGAGCCACTTCATCTTGTTTGTGGCACTTGTCGCTTTATATCCTCTTTGTTGTAAATAGTCCACGATATCTTTGGGATTATAAGAGTGATGTAGATTCCTAATCATTACCTTGATATCGCGTGTCTGCTTATTCTCGAATGAATGCCATTGGGTCTTATTATTCTTCAGTACACTCGTAATAGAGTTGTATGATTTTGGATCAGTTGCATTGATTTTAATTTGGTCGTTGTTTAGTAATTTTATTTCGTATGAGTTTGATGGGATGGTTTTAGAAGTTAAGATGTTGATCAGTTCTGGAACGTTTGTGATATCTTCCAGGATTATTGGAGGTGGTTTGGGCTCGACCTTAGTGTGGTTGCGAGAACGGTTCGTGTCGTTTTTGTGCTGACTGTCTACCGTGGGTTTCCGATTAGGTTCTTCCTGTTTAGTTTTCGTCTTGGTAGTTGTCTTTTTCTTTTCCTCGCTTAAAGCGGTGCGTACCCATTCTGTTTCTCTGGCCAGTTCCTCTTTATTATTTTTTGTACTAGCATTTGTTGTGTTTTGCTGTCTTTTGTTATTGTCGAGCATTTCTTCTGTTTTAGGAGACCCCCTTTGTTTGCGCTTTTTATGGTGTCTCACTTCAGTGTAGTCTTCTTCCTTAAAGGTGAATTCATCTTCATCGGTAGAATACGTGTTTACGACTTTTTGACTGAGTTGTTCTACTTTTAAGGTTAAGATTTTAATTTGCTCTTCTAATTCCAGTCTGATTTTCCGTTCTTGTTCCAGTTTAAGTACGGCTTCTTCTAGGGTTTGAGCCACATGTTTTTTGGGCCATTCCTGCCTGGTAGTGAGTAGCGCGGAGTTGTCGCTGTCTGACATGTTTGACTGAGGATTCGGTTTACTAAGGCTAGTGATTTTTTTCATAACCCTTAAGCTTGTAAAGCTCTCTGATCTCACCCTTGTTTGAGGGACATTTGGCGGCGTTCGTTGGATGCGGAAGTTCCTTTGAAAAGGATTCATAAGCAATAGTTGGCCCTCCCCAGAATCCGTGGGGCCTGCCTCAAGTAATGAGGGTGGATTCTCCAAGTTGCTTGGCGTACCACCTGGGGTAGTTATTCCTAGAATTGTTTTTTCCATTGCTCATTTGTTGATTCCAAGTGCAATCCAGTTGGTCCGCGGGAGCTATTTTATTTCACTCCTACCCGCCGGAGTACCGGTGAGGGCTTTCCCCTATCCGCCACCTGGGGACGCGCCTGGTAGCGGTTACTGGTGACCGCCCCAGGAATAAACGAAAAGTAAACAAGTTTTGTGCATTAAAGACTATGGCTGCCACACGAAAATTTGCTTCAACTCTGAGCATTACCTTGATATGATTATTATCAGTCCCCTTCTTCCGTGTCTAAGTCTAAGCTTTGAATATAAAATATATTTTATATTCGAAGGTCTAAGTGAAAATATTGGTGAAAATCCCTGTTCTTCGGTATCTGCGCAGAACGTTCGAAATCGAGGACCTATCGCGATCTGTTGTACAGTGGCACCACGCTCAGAAAGTCCCTGACAGGGCGTGTCCGAGGGCGCTAGAAATGTAGACCGTACATTCTGATGCAAAATTTAAAAACACGAAGGGAATTAAATACCTTATCAGATCGTAGATCCAAGCTATATGTGTCTTGAAAAAGACGAGTTTATATAAAACTGGAGACGGAAAACGTAAAAAAAGCAAATACAAGAAGCAAAGTGTAAACTAAAATAACGTGAAACGTCAACTGTCAAAACCGAATAATTAATAATTATGGCGCGGAATGTATCGCGTCGTTTTGCAGACTTTCTATTGGCCAGCCTGAATTATTTCAAAATTAGTTCGCATATTTTCCGGGGCTTTTCTGAGCATGGTGGCACTGTATACACAGCGCGTTTCGTATTTTTTCTCATACTGCCATTCTTTCAGATGTAAGGTGTGTTGTCTAACCGTAGAGCGCCATGGAAATAAAATAAGCCACCTCCTGCCTACAGCCGAAGTATGTCCTGTTGCTTGCATTCCCCACCCACCCCTCTTCATGAATTGCTCTCTGAGATAATGTTTTAGCTAGTAAACCCATATAGTGTAAAGAATAATAGACTATGGCAAAACGTGCATAAATTTGAAGTGGGATGATCCGCTTGCCTCAGAGTTTGAAGAAGCTGACCTCTAAACTATGGTCTCCGAGTGGAGTGTGAGGGAAAAAATTATTTTTTTCTATTTCGGTGTCACAATGATGATTTTGTACAACTGTTTTCGGCCGAAAACAGTTGTACAAAGACAGTGATTATAGTCGTTTTTTTTGGTAACTCATCTCTTAAGTTGGCAGTTACTAGTTGGTACAAGTAGGTACTCGCGTAGCCACGAGTGTCCGCAAGATAGGAGTATTACAATAGGTCGCATTGTAACACTTGTCTTTCAATATACTATTCTCCTTTATAGTACTCCAATGAAAAGCCTGAACTTGTTTTCTACCGAGTCCCGCTCCATCCGCCGACTCCAGCGGGATCGTGGTTGAATATATGGGATATCCAGTTCTCTGATTTGAGCGTGCGATGCGATTGTGCCTCTCTAGGATTGTAAGTTGTTTCCTTCGCACTCATCTCATGCTTTGTCTCTAATTTTGAGAGCCGATGTGAGGAGAAGGTGGAAGGGCAAGGGCTACAGCTAAAGCCCAATATAGGCAATAGTCAGAAGCCAAATCTCATCAGTGCTTTAAAATTGTTCATCCTCGCGATGCGCTTCAAAAGGAAAACTGGTTGGTACAGCTTCTTGTGCGGAAAGGCTCAATTTCTACCCTGGGGCTTTCGTCCGGTCCCGTCTGCCACGCGTCTATCGAGGGTGCTTTATCAATTACTTCCCCTCCCTTGCTCTATTATGTCACATAGCTAGACTGTGGTTATTACCTATATCGTATTCATTGGAACAAAAAGTGTAGGCCCTTTTCGCTAATTCCTTCGTCTTGTGATATTGGGTATACCACCTAGGCATTTACCCCCTTTGGAGTTATTGTTAGCGGAACAGCACATAACCGCAACCGCTATAATTACCTTAATTTATGATTTACTGTCGACTTAAAATTTGGCCCTTCTATTTTTAGCTACCTACCTACGCTATTTTCGATTTTTCGCTCCATTTCCACCACCCACGCTTGCGTAAATCTTCTTAGTAAACAGAAATGGGCGCATGTCGGCGTGCAACACGATAAATGATAACAAAATTGTAGTTTTAGACATTTTTTAAAGCATTTATCTGTATTTTCTACGTGAATACCTTTAGAATAGGTGTGTATGACACGTAAGGGCGCAACATGACGGTTTAACCTCCCTTATTTTTTAGCGATCAAACAAAGTAGCGCATTGAACCCATCAATTTTATTATGATAGTGTACGAATATGAAAATTTACTCGCCAATGTTAATTTATAATGGAATATTTATTTCTACAATGGCTAATTGTACTGATTCTACCCTCGTTATGTATTTGCTTAGATCAAGGTTTGTTAACATAATCACAACATTCTGTTATCACAGGCTTTTGCAGCTTCATTTTACGGTAACAGTTTTATATCACTCCCTCTGAAGGAGGCGAAAGGACATACGGATATCCACTTTAAGTTTCGCAGTCAATTATCGAACGCGTTGATCTTTTTGGTTGCCGGCTCAATCGACTATTGCATACTAAGACTGGATGATAGCAGACTGAAAGTAAATATCAATTTGGGCTCTGGCGAATTCGAGATAGCCTCGCCGCCCGGGGTGAAGCTAAACGATTTAGAATGGCACGAAGTCACTGTGATTCGCAGGGAGGCCAGTTTATCGTTGGTCATCGATAATCGCCAGCCCATTAAGTAAGTATTATGTTTTATTTGTTTTTCTTGTAGTGTTAAAATTATGAACTAATCACCTAATTTTCAAGCAATACACTTGTATTGCACTTACACCTGCTGCTGATGGCAGTGTTTCATTTTGTGATATACAGGGTGTCCATGACCATGAGTTCCATTACTTCCAGAGCAAAATGTTTTGCAGTTTGCATTTTTGTTTGGTTACCTATGTTGATTTTTCCAGTGGTGTAATAGTACAGTTTGTTTTTATAATTCGTTAATTTTTGCCCGAAGACGAGAATCTCTAGTGTAATGTGAACCGGAACGTACAACAGTTTTCCGTTATAGATGTTCTGGACATACACAATCTGTTTTTGAATGAAATATCTCCCCGGAAATAAACAATGTTTATTTATTCTTCAATCACCAGCGTGAAACTTCACCCAACAGCTATCCGCCAAAGGATAACTCCTCCCCCTTTTTTCAAGCAGTGTTGCCTCTTCTCCCAGTGTGATGGCGAAGGTTCAGTTTTCTTCAAAGTAGTCACTTCTTTTTGAGTGGGGGGAACGAAAACCAAGTGGCTGCAGCATTATATTTTAGTTTGCAAGTTCCATCTTCCCAAATTTTCTCCCGCATATCAGGAGCAAAATGGACCTGCAATCAAATAGGAAAATATTTGTTCAATTTCACAGTATTCCAAGCTAATGGGATACCCATTGAGCGAACTTTGGTTTTTTGAGATGATATCAGTAGATACAGTCATCAAATTTTTGGCAGAAAAAATACAATGCCTATCTCATGATGATATGTCCATGCTAATTTGATTCTTATCTAAACTGTCATTTTTTATACATAATAAATTCCTGGTACATTCTCCTGTTTAAAATATGCACACTTCTGAATGCTAAACAAAATTTTATTCCAACCAAAGGGATGGTAGCATTAAAATTAAATTTAATTTCCAACTACTGAAAAAAAACAAATTCCTTTGTGTAAATTGGTCGGTTCCTTTAGGAATATTATGATGACGGTAAATAACATGTTTACCATTTCTGATTTCTGTGTAATGTTATGCGTATTAATTACTTGCATCCGATTCTCCAAAGCATGGATCGAGATTTTGTTTATGCACAGGAATAAAAATCCAACTAGTACTGATATCACTGAAATTAAATACAAATTTCTAATACAAAATAACTAAAATCCATTCTTATCAATAAATGCAATACAAAATCTGTTTCATGCAAATAATTTTTATGGGTCGATTCCTTTAGGAATATTAAAATTCCTAAATATAACTGACCACTACTTTATACAAATCAACAAATTTATATTCTCTTCTGGTAACAAATTGATCTTATCTCTCTTTGGAAAATGCCATTTCCTGTAGGAAATAGATCGCTTCGACGGTGCAATTGACTTTTTGCACCACCCGGATATCGTTATCTTCTAGTGGAAGAAAAGTTTGTATGAATCGCGAATGCAACGAAACAGGATTCAATTTTGCGAAAGTAATACACTTGAGATTGTGATTATGCAAAGGAATATAATATTCCGCTTTATTGATATTAATTTTGCCCAATTTATTGACTAGGTTTTGTTGCGGGTAAATGCATCAATTAATTGTCTTTAAATTTCCTGTCGTCTGTCGTTGTATACCAAATTTTATTTATCGCACAAGGCGCTGTCCAATGACGCCAATTAACTTTGAGGGACGAAACAAATTTTTTAATGCGTTTAATGTCAGTTTAACTAATCCTGTTTTTATTTGAAAAGCTGTTCTCTGACTCGAAAATGTTCTTTGGCGTATATTTTATCACTCCGAAAAATAAAAGGCCTTGTTACGAATCAGGCTGCTAAAAAGTTATTCTTCGTCTCGGAATTTACTGTAATTCGTCTTATTCGCACACATACTCAATTGCAAGTAACCTGCAATTTTATCACAAATCCGAATTATCTTAAATGTTTGTTTCTACTTAATAAGTTTTTTACGTGAAGTTAAACTGCTAAGCCTTTACCACTGTTCAGATAGATTTCACTTAATAAATGCACGTGTTTTGCTTCTTGAATTTCGACCGCAATTAGACGCGAGGATATTTGTCGCAACGTAACTAAAAATGTCGACCGTGAATCGATATTTCACACGTCGATATTTATACGTGATCGCCCTTGATGTGCTCGTTCGCGAAAATCAGCTTAGATTCCTCGCTCTTCCACTTCTTCCACTATTTGAATCTCGCCCGCTAGAAAAACCGAAAAGGTCCTCCTTTCTGAACGCAATGATCCGGACAGTATGAATCAAGATCTTATTTATGCACAGAAATAAAAGCCACTTCCCCACTGTACTGAATATTAATATTACCCATTTACTAATCAGGTTTTCTGTGCGCCACAGGCACAAATTAATTGTCTTTACATTTTTACCGCATGTCACTGAAAACATAGCTTTAGATAGCAAAATGCGTTCCGGAATGTCACTAAAAGTTTAGTGAACTTGCTTTTTTTAACCAGCCGTTACAATAGGAGATTAGGAAAAACGTTCTTTGTTTACAACAATTTTATTTTTTATTTTTTTTATTTTGATTTCTTTTTCCCATTTGCGTACGGAGTACATAGGCGGCGTCCATAATATGAGTGTAAAGTTTAATAATACATTAAATACAAATACAATACAATAAAAAATGACGGGATTACTAATATTAATTATGACCCTTTTCCCACTATCGATATGGCTTTAGATTCCTTTATTAGATATCTACTAAATTATATCCAAATGCGTCTATATATTTTATAAACTTATATTTTGTGCTTTTTTAAATATTATTTCATATTGTGTCCTGTAATTATTGGTGTAAACTGTTGGGTATTAAATCTAAATCTAATGCTTTCTCAGTTACGCGTTCGAAATTTAATGAACGCACCAATTTGTACGTGCTCACTCTTATAAGTTAGACTGCAAAGGCTGATAAACAATAAAATTTTCACGCACAAAATATACTTAATACAGCTTACCCTTTCCTCGAAATGCGCACCCTTATCGCTCTTATCTCCAGACATACTTTCTTTCACGTTTACTATTAAGGGGTATATGTGTAAATCTCTCCATGTTGAACAAAATACAAACTCGAAAAAAAAACTGCAAAGCGGTCACCCGTTACAATAGCTGGAACAACTGATCTGAAATGTTGGTAATAAATTAGTTATGTCTCGGAAATGTGATAAATGGAACAAGTCAAAATGCGGCCTTTCATCTCTCCAGGGCCCGTTTGCGGTATCGGGGACCGACGCGATATTAAGCCTTGTTATTTTAAACAATAAAAGGTTCCTATGTGCTTACAATTTTTTTCAGGGTTAAATGTGATCGTTAACTTAGATTGAACACAATTTCGATCATATTATTTGAATCTTGAATTCCATGTTGATTTGTATTAGAATTATTACATGCTTAATTTTTTTAATCATTGCCTTGTATGTATTTTGATTTGTTTTTGTTCGATTGGATTACGTTGAGAAGAATTAAATAATTGCGTTGTGTTTTTTTTTGAGTTTATCTCATTTAAATCCGGTGAAAAACTAATTAATTTGAAGATGAGCAGGTGTTCGCCGAAGTAGGTCTTAGTTTATCGAAGACGCGTATTTGTTTTGTATCAGTGGGGGGCGCCGGTCCTCTATCTTTAGAAGTTGGCCGTTGATAAGAGGTGGATTTGATTGGACAATGTTGAATAAAATGTTGAAAAGGATTGAGAAAGTGTAGACGAGAAGTTTCGTCAAAGCAGATGGAAAACGGGTTAGCATTTTGGTGAAAGACAGTCAGTCTTGGTGGTTATAAAGTTCTTGTAGAAGGAAGCCTAGATCATGTTCTAAGTGATTTTAATTCGTCGTTATAAAAGAGAATGTTCTAGAATCTTAAAGTTCAAGTGGTGTGTTACGTATACGGAGAAGTAGTTGTGTCTCTTCAGCAGTTATAGCATAAGTGCGATCTTTCTTTAAGGTTTCAAGTACCCAATACAAGAAGTTTTCCACCACCAAAAAGCCACTATTAATTTTAAAATTAAAACAAAGTCAGTTTTTTTAAATCGAGAATCAAGTGTACGTAAAGAAGTAATGGCAGATGCTGAACGTATCTTTTTTATAGGTACCATTTGAATATAACAAATTGTGGTTAACTGTTAGTTTTTTTTGAGCTAGCTAGACAAGTGTTTGTGTGGGCGGTTTAGTGACCGCCATTGCACATAGCAGTAACTTACTTGTTTTTGTATCCAAAATCTCTTTTAACCACCTCCATTTTATGAAAATTACCTGGGTGAGCCCATGAACTCATTCCATGGTAACTTGTATTGTATGGTATAATATACTAACAGTAAGATGGTCATGATAACTGTGAAAATTGTTAAAATATAAAAATTTAAAATAACAAAAATAACTCTCCTTGTTACAGAAAGCAGCTTCCAGGGAAGTTTTTCGAACTGAACATCCATTACGGATTATTTGTGGGGGGATACGGGAATTTTACCGACGTATTCTTCGGCCACCAGGAAAACTTTCGGGGCTGCTTGTCCGACTTGATATATAATGGCATTCCTGTGCTCGAACGCGTACGATTCCGTCAGACTCAGGCGACGGTACAAGGTATAACGTGGAATTGTGGCGCCGAAATTGACGCGGATTCGAACCAACCCATCAGTTTCGTAGATGATGGGGCATATTTTACGGTTACGACATCATCGAAGCTCGATATGATGTCGTGGCAGTTCGAGTTGAAAACTGTGAGTGAAAAAAACGCGATTATTTTGTACAATACCGGGCTACCGTCTAAATTAGATACTGTGTCTTTGGAATTGTGGAAGGGAAAATTGAAGCTTCTCTTAAAGATAGGAAATAATAAAGTCATCGACGGTACTAGTGACATATTCGTTGCTGACGGGCAATGGCATAAGGTAACAATCCGAATTTTGTCACCTTATATTGAATTAAACGTCGATTCACGTACAAAGAGCTTAAAATTCTTTAAAGCCGTTGGTTCATCATGGGAAACGAGCGACCTACTGTATATTGGCGGGGTTGATGATTATAAACGAACTAAACTGTCCGCAAAGGGGTTGAAGATCCCTGATAGTAGTTTTAAAGGATGCATTCGGTATATAAAGGTGGGCACTAGACAGATAGGGTTGCGCGATGCCAGAGCGACCGAAGGTCTATTGAATGGTTGTATGTGGAAGTTTCCATGTTTAGGGAATAATCCTTGCACTAATCAAGGGACGTGCGTGCAACAAGGCCTTGATTCCTATCAGTGTCTGTGCAAATCGGGCAGCTGTTCAAATTCCACGAATCAAAAGAGTAAAGTCATCTCGAGAGGCAGTTTGGCCACCGATTTAGAACTCCTAATATTAGAACCGTTACAAGTGATGGAGGGACAAAGTGTTTTGATTACCACCACTAACCTGCACGTGGTCTTGGATTATCCGAAGTATGGAATTGGCGAATCGGGTGTTATTTTTCACATATTGGAAATGCCCGAGCACGGCAACGTGGTCATCGACGTTTGGCCACACGAAAAAAATTCCTTCACGCTAGCAGACATATCGAAGGACAAAGTGTATTATGTACATGATGGTTCAGAATATACCGAAGACATTATTAATATGGAAGTCGAATTTTCGGCAACTGACGTGTTTATACTACCAGTTTACTTGCAAGGGAGGTTTAAGTTAACGATCAACGTTAATATTACACCAATTAACGATCCTCCTGTGTTAAATATTCCTCCGACCGCCGTCTTACGGTTGGCACGGGTAAGCAGCGGAGCAATAGTATGCATGATTTACAGCGATTTGTTCACTTTGACCGTTTTGCATTTTGCGCTTAAAGTTTGAGGCCTGCCTGATGGAATGGTAATTTCTTTAAATGTCAATTTAAGATTTTAATCATGTTTTGTTTATTTTAAGATTAATCTGACTGTAACAATTGGTGTGGCATGCTTAGTACTACTTCTGTTCAGGTAAGAGAACCCTGAAGAATCCAAAAAGTGAGCTTACAGATCGCAGCGCCATCTTTTTGGTATGATAAATGAACGCATTTTACATACAACAATAATGATTGATGATGGTACAGCTGGAATGTGAGCTCATCTTTTTGTAGCTCGAGTTTATGACTCAATAGCAGATAGTGTAGATAGTGTTAGATTGATTAACGAAGGCATAGAGTAAAAAAGCATAAGAGCGTCCAGCACACACGTTTGTTTGCGAGATGAAACTCAGTATTGAATTAGTTCTGCAATCGACCGCCATGCAGCGATCAGTTGATATTGGAACCGTAACTGAAAATTCAAATGAATTGTGCCTCCAATTTTGTAACACACTGAACTTATGTCTCTGAAGTTGTTTAAAAAATCTGATACAACTGAATAGCTAACGATTCTCGAGATCTTCACACATACATCCTGTTTACAACACACTTTAAGGGGTTGATTCTGTCCCACCAGATCGGAATGGCTTGTAAAACAAATTTTTTGATTTGCCATTAGTTTTACTTTTACTCAAGGTGCCTACATACAAAATTTCATTTAAATATGAAGATATAAAAAAAGTGGAGTGCGCATGCGCAAAACAAATTTTTTGATTCGCCATTTGTTTTACTTTTATTCGATATGCCTACATATAAGATTTCAGTTAAATATCTTAAAAAATAAAAAATTTAGGATTGCGCATGTGCAAAACAAATCTTTTGATTCGCGATTAATTTTACTTTTATTTGAGGTGCCTACATACAAAATTATATTTAAATATCTCAATAACTAACAAAAATCGGCTGCACATGCGCAAAAAAAATTTTTGATTTGGCCATAGTTTTACTTAGATTCCATGTGCCTACATAGAAGATTTAAATTTAATATCTGAAAAAAAATAAAAAAAATTAGGATTGCGCAAATGTAAGTTGGGTTGCGCATGCGCAATTTCTTTTTATTCATCTGCATAGTTGCCTGAGGTTTAAGGAGTATTTCCTAACACAAAAAACCGGACATTCATAAGTTCTTTGCAACAAGAATTATAAAAGAAAAGACAGCAATACAAAATTATAAACGATGTGGAGGATCGTCAATAAAACATGGCCAGTCTTGGGGTGTGTCCCATAGGCTTGATTTTTACATAGAAATGGACTACTAAAACCAAAGTTAATTTATTTCAATATCGACTGATAGTCGGAATGGCGTTTTTTTAGCGGGATTGCAGATTCTTACTCAATTTTAATAGATGCAGTGGCATCTTTACTCCATTTTTACTCTTTGACCAAACTTATGACCATCACTAAATCGATTCTTTGTATACTTCTACCTTACTCAACAAAAATGTGCACTAAAGGCGTCATTTTGCAACTGAATTATCTAATTATGCATGGTTATATAACAAATCTGAGCAAGAGTGAAAGTGCTCAACGTGGTGTCTTGTCCACTGAGGCAGTATTTTGTTATGGCCCTGATAAAATTGCCAAATAGACTGAGGTGAGTATAGCGTGAGTATGCTAAATCCTAGGACGACAAACTTGTCACGATTAATGAATATAAAAATCCCTTCGCTGTGAGGGAAATTGGTTTCTTCATCAGGAGTTGATTTATGCCAACGCCGCTTTTGGCTCTTTCGGCATTGGTAAGAACTCTTTATTTCGTGACCGGAACCGTATGTATACTCGTATACCTCGTTCAGAATTGATATGACCTCTGTGTTTTGTATATATACATCCGTATAGGATGTTTCCTGATCCTTTGGGCACTACAAAACAAGTTTTTGTGAAGCTGAAGAGTATGTAATAGTCAAAATGGTTGCTGTCTGTCCGCCTTCCCCCGGGTTTATGCGCTCATGTCCATTATAATTTCCTTTGTATCTTCTTAGGATCTTCTCAGAATTTTTTAGAATCTTCTTAAAAATGTTTTAGAATGTTAATAGAATCATTCTAGAAGATTCTTCTTTTGAACCTTTAGAATCTTCAGAACTATTAGAATTATGCAATCATTTTGAAATTTTCTTGGAATTTGAGAATCTTATCAGATCCTTTGAAGCATCTTCTTAAAAATATCTTAGGATTTTGAAATCTTCTTAGCTTCCTTATAACGCAAGTCGGAAACCTAGGAACATCTCAGAATCATTATTGAATCTTCTAAGGATCTTCGTAGAATTTTCACTATTAAAGATGTATAGAATCTTCAGAACTTCTACATACATAACTCTCAGAACCCTTACAGCCGTGTTACCTGCACACGTAAGTACTTTACCCAAAAATTGTTTAAAAATTCTGACGAGCAGTTTTGAAAACAAAATTGATATTTTGCAGTTGTTTTACACTTTGTAACAAAAAATATTATGTGTTTTTAAAACCAAGATTAAGATAAATAAGTTTATGGTGATGCCGCGTTTAAATGAAATAATGCTCCTATGAACGTTATGGAGTAAAATGTGGTTACAAAGGAAAAGCCGAAAAGGTACATTATCACTTTTAAATCAAGAATTAAAAACTTTAAGATCCAGAAAGAAATTTTCCTATACTCTTCAATTAGAAAATTAATTTCTCTACTTGCCCTCTGACGTGGAAGCGCGACTGCGGTACTAACGGTATCTGGTTTGAATATGGGTTAATGTATAGTGGGTTGGGCAAAGCCACTTTGCCCGAAACTCCGCCCATTTAAAAATAAAAACCAAAAATAAATTTTGGTAGTAATTCTTACGCGTGCGAAATAGCTCTTAGATCGGTTTTTTGACCGTGACGAAACGGTCAGCGGCGAATTGTCAATTGATACGGCGACTAAATGGTCGCGGCGTGAACAGGCCGCAGTGAAGCGTTCCATACTAATATTTACTTACAAAGTAGGGTTTCGAGACCCATCACATAACAGTATTCCTACAACAAACATTCGGGAGGTATCAAAAATAGTCACATTTGGCATTTATGGACAATAAGATAGAAACAAATCCAACAAATATATTACGTCCCCACATAAAGCAAACAAAACTCCCGAATCATCGCACAGGCTGATCACAAATATTGTAATTGAATTTTGAAGTAAATTTCCTACGAATTGTTAAAATATAAAATGCAAGTTCTATATCACTCTTAACTGCGTATGCAAAATCTCCAAGATACTCTAAATTATCTCAACACCCTGTATGTTAATCTCAAATGAAAGCAACCCACACCTATGGAAAATTCCACCTTCACTACCTACGTATCAAAAACTATAATGTGCCCTAAATTAAATTAACACCCTGTACTAATCTTCAACCTTCCAAGGGCTTAACGAATGATAAATCAAATCTAAAACCTCTCGCACTTCTTATAAACGTAATTGAAGCGACCTTCTCAATGAAACTGCTACGTATATGAGAAAACATTATGTACATGCCATTTTTAACATAAACAAAGCCACCTACCTCTAAATACGGCCTGTTAACTTATGTTATCAACCTTACATAATGTTTTATTGCATATTCAAATTTATAAACCAAATACTCAGTGTGTGTCACTCTCAGGATCAACCAACATAAATAAAACGCAAGAAATTGGGAGAGTGAAATTTAATCAAAACGTTAACAAAATCAATTCACGGTTGCCCTCTCATAATCACACGAGAATAGCTCTAGGGACTTCATTGATTACATGGAAGGAAAGAGCTATTGAAAACCTTCTGGGATATATACTCACTCACTTACTTTCTCACTTCTTTTCCAATTTGCATTTTACAATTTCACATTATAATAGTTTTCAACCTGTAGAACAGTATTGGAGAATTTTATCTCCCTCATAATCATGACATGAAACTATATACTAAGACTGTTATGTAATGGAGCCCAAAGAATACACATAATACTTATATCATTTTTTGTTTATGGTTAGGAGCTCGAACGCCTGCATTAGGACATGACCTGTCTCACTATAACAACACGATGGGGGCAGGTTCGGGGTTTTAGTTCATGGTTTGAGCTCAGGTGCCCGGGTATAATATTTGCATACAAAGTAGGGTTTCGAGACCCATCACATAACAGTATTCCAATAACATAAATACTCAGGAGTATCCTACTTCCAAATTGTTCATTTGAGTAGAATGTGAATTTAGTTTTATACAAAGGTAGCAGTATACAAAATAGGTTGCATTTCCTTAATACTGCATTCTCACAACCCTTGTTCATACCATTTTTTTAATCGGAATTTTCTGTTTACGCATAGGGAACAAAGGGACTGATCAATCGAGAGTTGGTGAATGTAATCGATCCGGACAGCTCGACCGATCAACTGGTGTTTAGCGTCGTCGATCCCGGATCCGGTCATTTAGAACATCTACGCAACTCTGGGAAGCCGATCAATTCGTTTACTCAGCAAGAAATGGACGACGATCAAGTCGTGTTCGTTCATCACGCAACCGCCCCCGACGATTCCTATCTTTCGTTGAGAGTGTCGGACGGAATGGAAACCAGTAAGATCGCCAAGTTGCGAATATCCGCCTTTCAACAAGTTTGGCGCATTCAAAATAACACGGGGTTAATAGTTATGCATGAGGGAGTCGGCGTCATTACATCGTATAATATAAGCTTTACATCAAATGTGCAGCAGAGCTTGGAGGAGGCTCAATATTATATCGTGCAGGAACCGCAATTGGGCGTAGTTGAAATAGAGACGAGTTTAGATGTATGGAAAAAGGCGACTACGTTTACGAGCGACGATTTGCGACGACGTCGCATTAGGTATCGTCACTTGCGATCGAAACCTAACCATGATGAGTTTCAGGTAATCAATTTCTATTATCATTCCGCTCTGAATTAGTTGCAATTATAAAGTGAATGAATTGTTCCATGTTGAACTTGTGATGTTACTCCATACTTACCTTTATAGTTGCAATTATTTTTATGCAAATTGAACATAAAGGTTAAAGTGTAAGAGTATTCCACTATATATGCGCTGACTAGAATTTTCGTAGCATCAATGGCGGCGATGCACCGGAAAGCGGCCAATTACTCACGGCACTAAATATACCCAAATTTCCGAATTGTTCTTGATTTCTGTTTGAAAGAATGTGCAGTGGCAGCTTGAATTTTTAGGTACACCAATGGTGACGTCGGTCTGACAGACCGAAAGGGTTAATTGTCAAAGAACGGCTTGCTTCATCAAGTTGTTCGTCTGGTACTAAACTCAGACACGCAAAATATTAAGCTAGCAGAACTAGCAGTGCCATGCGCTGCGCCGTTTTTACAAAAATTTGAAAAATACTTTTCGTCGGTCTGAGAGACCGTGCGTCACCACTGAAGGGTTAACAATAATTCATTCATTTATCGTCTAAAGTCAAGCAACGTTGCCCTCGGTTAGTATTTGAATGGGCAACGCGATTTTTTGCGCATACATTTTATTTGCTTTTATTAGATGGACCTACCATCAAAATTTCCTTTAAATTTTTCCCGATTTCTTATTGTAATTATAATGAACTTGATGGTATCGAAATGATACATAGCCACTTGGAATAAAACCAAATTTAACGCCAGTTTCAAAATTTCGTTTTGCGCATGTGCAGTGCCAACTTTCTTATTTATGGAGGGATTTAAATGAAATTTGATACATAGCCACTTGAAATAAAAGAAAATTTAACACCAGTCTCAAAATTTGGTTTTGCGCAAGCGCAATGCCAATTTTCTTATTTATGCAGGGATTTAAATGAAATTTGATACATAGCCACTTGGAATAAAAGCAAATGTAGCGCCATTTTCCAAATTTGGTTTTGTGTAGGATGTGCCAACTTTCTTATTTATGGAAGAAATGTTTAAAAAAATGCGCTTTACCTGCACAAGGGTTGTGCACAATTTGTACTTGTTTCCTTAATTCTCTTATCTGCTCATATTCTCCGTTGCTTCTTTGCATTTAATTTTTTATACCTTCTATTCTTTCCTCCCTCCATTTACATTCTTCCTTTTCTTTCCACTCCCCTTTCCAAATCTCGTCTTCGACTTTTCTACATTGAGCTCTATTCGTTTCCTTTTCCAATACTTTTCCATTCTTCCTATCTGTTCTACCTCTGTTGCCATAATCACCGCATCGTCCGCGTATGATAGAGATCATATTTTTCTTCTTTCCAATTCTATCCCTCTACCTTGGCCCTGTCTTAATACTTTTTCAATGTCTCTTACGTAGAGGTTAAATTAGGTTGGGCTGTCTTAGTCCTTTACATGTCTAAAACACTTCAGACTCCTATTCTATTCTTACCCTCAATCTTGTCTCTCCATCTATGTAGGTTCTTGATTTTGTGCGCCTTTGCGTTGGTCAGTTATGTCGACTTGATTTATCATAAAAACAGAAGAGACTATGTCAGTTTTGTTTTTTTATGCCACTGCCAATGTTGACGCGTTTCCCCCCACTCTTACTTTTGCTTCTTTCCTCTTGTCACTCTCTAGACTCGACCCAAAAACTGCCCGAACCTCCAAAAAAGAGTATCTTTTATAATTCTTGTTACAAAGAACATATGAATGCCCGGTTTTCTGTGTCAGTAAGTATTCCTAAACCTCAAGCAACTGTGCAGATGAAAAAAAAAATATTGCGCATGTGCATTCCAATTTTTGTATTTGCGTAATTCAATTTTTGTATTTGTTAAGATATTTAAATGAAATTTTATGTGTAGGTACCTCGAGTAAAAGTAAAACTAATGCCGAATCCAAAAATTAGTTTCGCGCATGCGAAAACCGATTTTTTTATTTGTCAAGGTATTTAAATGAAATTTTGTATGTAGGCAGCTTGAGTAAAAGTAAAACTAATGCAGACTCAAAAAAATTGTTTCGCGCATGCGCAAACCTATTATTTTTATTTGTTAAGATATTTAAATAAAATTTTGCATGCAGGCAGCTCGACTAAAAGTAAAACTAATGGCGAATCAACAAATTTGATTCGCGCATGCGCAAACCGATTTTTTTAACAGATATTTGCATGAAATTTTGTATGTAGGAAGCTGGAGTAAAAGTAAAAATAATGCCGAATCAAAAAATTGGTTTCGTGCATGCGCAAACCGTTTTTTTAAATTTTTTTATTTAAATGATATTTAAATAAAATTTTGTATATAGGCACCTCGAGTACTAATACAGAATCAAAAATTTTTTTATTTGTTAGGTTATTCAAATGAAACGTATGTAGGCACTTCGAATAAAAGTAAAACTAATGCCTATTTAAAAAATGTCTACCACAATGACTTGAAGCTTCTAGGCAGTTTATTTAATATTTTAAGGAAAGGGTGGGGATTGCGGTTTCATTCCCCTATATGCTGTTCCTGGTCTAATGACTAACAGTACACAACAGTATCACCAGTCACCCTGCTAAGGATGGCTGTGTTGCCAAGTTGCACATATGACAACCACTATTTATTTTGCAATTTTTTTTTTATCTTTTGCATAAAAATTGTTGCAACTTATTGAACTGCTTACTTAAAACTTGATGCATACAAAGAATTACTAAAACTTCTTTCCTTTACAGTTCCGTACCACATTAAATAGTTCACTGATTTACACATTTCGAATCACGTTTAAGAACTGCGAACTTATCAGCTCCGCCTCGAACCGCTTACAAATGAATGACGTAGGACAAAGTCCCATCACACAAGCTCATCTAAATTTCAGAACGGAACCTATCGCATCCTCGACTGCCGCGATATTGTTCGTAATAACCGACACCCCGAAGTATGGTAGTCTGTTTCTGTCCGATTCGAAATATCAGATGGGGTTGGGGGATACTTTTAGTCAAGAGGATATCTTAGCCAACAATATAAATTATCATTTCTTTCGAAAACCTTACTCTTTCATTAATGATAGTTTCGACTATGCCGTCATGATACGTGGATGTAAGAATAAGACTGGAAATATTAGCATTGAATACCGTCCATCTGAGGATACGTTGTTGAAGGCTAATGTTATTCTTCAAACATTGAAGGTTGAAGAGGGTGGAAGCGCTGTAATTGACTCGTTACATTTGAACATTGTTAGTAAATTAGTGAGCGAGTTACAATACAATGTTACCGAGCCCCCTCGTCATGGATACCTTAAGGTGAACTATGGTGATTTGATACGTAACAAAACAAGCTACTTTACAACGACAGAGCTTTTAGCAAAAGCCGTAGTTTATGTGCACGACGACTCGGAAACAAAAAACGACACCTTTCGGTTTTTCGCATATTCGACATCGGATATGGAAGATTTCCAATTTAGCGAAGAATTTATCATTGAAGTTGCTCTCAAGAACGATAACAGTCCCTATCGAATCGTAGATAAAGTTTTTGAAGTTGTGGTTAACGGGCAGAAATTGTTAACCGCGAGTGATCTCAAATATGCAGATCCCGATAGTGATACGCCTCCTTCAACTCTCGTATACACCTATAGAGATTTGCCCAACGGCAAATTGTATAATTTGCGCAATCTATCCGCCGAGATTACGGAATTTTCGCAAAAAGATTTAGACGACGGCATATTACTTTTCAAACATAACGGTCCGAAGTACGGCAAAGGAAAGTTGTGGATAACTGATGGTCAATTTTATGTTGACGGTATCTTACAGATTCAAGCGTCTGCCCCTTTTATTAGAATAGGAAATGGCAAAAAGTTGCTTACACAACATGGACATTGGGCTATCATATCTAGTCAACATCTTTTTGTCGAAACAAACTTATATACGACTGATGACGAAGTAAACTACGAGATTATTACGAAGCCTTTATATGGGAAAATCATTACTGCGCCTGATTTACTGGTAGGTATCATTTTCATGTTTATACATGTAAAAGGTAAGTACTTTCTTGCATCGCTTCAATTGCTTGGCTAGACACTACAAGGTTCTATAGGTACACAAATTTTCCCATGTTAAATGCAATACAATATCGTAGTTCACTTACGGTGTGTGTATTCTACTAATTCTACCCTAGAGTCTTTTGCTACTTGTATGTTAAGAACCGAAGGTCACATTAGATTCAATATACAGCATCTTGGTTAGGGTCGAGGTTAGGGCTCAGTTGTTATAGAGGAGGCCGGCATCCTGGCGGGACTTGTTCTTGAATAAAGACACCACTTGAATATACTAACCCTATTTAAACCACCCCGACGATACATAATACACACCTTCGACGTCCCGTTCATCCGCAATCCGCGTTTGAAGTTTTTACAAATAAATTCGCCAAAAGGCACTGTGAATGTGCTGAATCAATTAGGCTCAAATTTTGGCATTGCGTATTATATCTCTAAAGCTATGCCCAGTTTGAATTTCATGCAATTCGGTTCCTAACTAAGGGAGATGTCAAAAGGGCCTTCCTTATTTTTTGGCATACATTACTCCGACCTACAAATTTGGTTAAGAATCCATCTGCAAAATTTCATCATAATTGGCCGATCCATTCCAGCCAGTGAAGGTCCGATTATCACAAAGACCGTTCTCTTTGTGAGACTGATTCACGTAGAGGTCCCAATTGTCGGGATTCTCGTAAAAGTCCTTCCCATAGCGGGTCGAATTTACATGCATCCACTCGAAAAAGCGACGTTCCTGTTACTAGGTCAGTGGAGCTCGGCCACCTTGTGGGTCGATTTTGCGTGTACCAAACGTTTGCACGGTGTATTTTGTAACACGATGCGGATATCGTTATCGGTAGACGCTCGTATGACCTTGGAATGTAACTTGGCAAGGGAAAAGCCCCCATTTTCCTCTACACGCCGCATTTGAACCACTGTGGTCTGATATTTTGTCAAGTGACTGGCCAAAGGAAGAGAAAGATCTACTATCGGAAAAATACGACTTGCCAGAGAATTGCAAAGTGCTGGGCTATTTCACGCCTACGCACTTCAACCTTTGGATCTACTGAGGGGCTATTCCCATCCAGGTCTTGCGATCTCTGTTCGGAGACAGCTTCACACCTGCACTGGGATGTGTGCCACTGTTTCTTCCTCTTCGAAGCAGAGACCACATGTGTTATCCTCAGCTCCTCCGATTTTGTTGAGATGATATCTCAAGGGGGCACTATCCAGTGACCAGCCCTATGTATGACCATGGGTTTTGTGTGGCATTCCATAAGCAGCTTGGTGGTCAGCCTTGAGAACTGCCTTACTGTTCTAGCAGATGTAAATGCATGCAGCAAGTAGCCCTTTGGACGCAATGGCCCCTGCGCACCTGGTTATAGCTATAACCTAGGCTTGAAACGCTGTAGGAATACCTATGCCTAATCCCGCCTGTTCTTCGATTAGGGACCAGCTGTGTATAAGGCTTCTTTCTCAAATTCTGAACTGTCGTTACAGACTTCCTTGTCTCGGATCACCACTTTAAAGGGCTTGTCATGGCGATATTCGAGAGTCATGTAGCCTAACATCCTGTATACGTGCAAATAATTGGTGTACAACTCCTAAGTGATTTCCTCTTTTATGTGTTCCTCCCTCCTCAATTCGGAGCAATCTGATTATTTCACTCGCTGCTTCTTTCTTGACCACTATTCTATTCATAAGGGAAGCATAACCAGGCAGCACTTTTTTTTTTCTCCCAGTTCCCCAACGTAGCTGGTATCACCAATTGTATTCTTCCGCTCGGGGGGGGGGGGGCTGCCTTACTGTTCTCTTCTCCTGGCCTCTATTTCTCTCGTCCTTATGATCTGCGTGATGAATTTTCTTCCAGCTGCTCTCGCTACCGATCATGGTGTCTAAAACACTGTCTTCCTCTATTGGATCCCCTACCTCCAATCTCAGTGCCCATCTCTGGCACTCCAGTACCGCATGTCCTGGTGAGTCTTCCTCCGCAGTCTTCACATGTGTCGTCTTGACGCTTTTTGATCCTATGAAGGTATTGTGCGTTTACACCATGTCCGGTCAGGAACTGTGTTAGGTGGAAATGTACTTCCCCATGTTTCCTCTTATGCCATTTTTGGACGTCTGGGATTAGGGAAGTCTGTCCGGCCCTGGAGCTTTTTTCCTTGGCATCATATTCGCTGCCTCCATGATTTCGTTTTGGTCGACTTTTTTGGGGTCTGTAGATCCTCCATTGTCATCCGCCATTCCGATTTTGTTCTTAGTGGAAAAAGTGTCTGGAGCTGTTCCTGGGCTTCCGAGTCTGATCCAATCACTTGCTTTCTCGCACCAAACTTCCCTACTGCTATTTTATACCCCATGCCTCTCTCTCTAACTGATTGCAGCAGAGCTCTCGCCAGCATTCTTCCTTTCTTTTTTGTATTGCAATCTTCAATTTCCTGCTACTGGTCCTCAGTTCTTCCGCTTCTCTGTCATTTTCGTGTGACGCCCTTCTTCCGGTCCTGGTGCATATCCTTAGATCTTAGATCCGCTATCTCCGCGTTCCACCAGTATGTTCTGCGTTTGTTCGACCCATAGGATGTTTTTGGCATCGATAGATTTGCCAGTTTTCGACCAGGCAGCACTTAGGCACATAAAAAATCCATTGTGTTGGGCTTAGCCGTGTGCAGTGGCGTGGAAGCCGGACTGTGGCACTGACAGTCCTTGGTTTGAATCGGGGTTTGGGCATGGGTATTTGTAATTGTATAGTGGGTTGAGTTGGAAACCTCGCCCAATAAATAAAAAATAAAATAAATAAATTGTACCTACCCCCTTTCTTTTGCAACTAGATTCAGAGCACGTTTTTCTCAATAAAAGACAGGCTTCTGTTTCACCTTCCCCGGTTCCAGATAATTGTCGCCAAGGAGCTGTTGCCTGTCACAGTGACAGACCACATGCACCGAGCATGTTTCATCTGCCTCGCCTCACAACGTTGTGCAGGTGATAGTCTGGTTAATCTGCCTTCTATTCAGCTTTAGAAGCTTAGAAGACCGATTTGCGAAGGGGTCCTGTTAAAAAGGCCTTGAACTGTCTGAGTCCGACTGCTTGTTGCCACTGAGCCTGGCAATTTACTAGTCTTTAATCCTGGATCGTCCGCCCTTTGGTTGTCTACAATCCACTGGCACCCACATCAAACTTACCCTTGTTAGTCACCTAACCTATCAATTGGAATCTGACTGACGAATTGATTCTCTTTTATCGTATACTTTAAGTAACAGCCCCCAGAGTCTGACCCTTAAAGTGAGCAGAGGTGGCATCCCTGGGACTCCCACTTCCCCAAGTGTTGTGTTAATAAGGTATCCCTTATAACCTTTAACGAGTCATGATCAAGTCCGATTTCTCTAAACTCTACTCCCGTATTGGCAGATGGCAGTTCGACCTTTTACCAGATAATCCTGGTATCGGAAGTTGACTGGAGGTCGTCACTGTATGCTTCAGGAGTCAAACGTACGGGTAATGCATATAGCATTTGTATCATTCATATTGATGAAATTTCTTTTATCACGTTTCCTAGGTCAGATTAAAATCCATTCTTCCATACCTAACTTTTTCAGGTTAACATAGTTAGATAGTAACCTTTTGTGTCGAAAAATAGCTCATGTTGGATGAGCTTTTGTGTTTCCGTCGATTATACCTTCATTAGTTCTACTCCATACTAAACTTTATGGGTAAAAGCCATGGAATGTAGCAGTTACCCGCCAGTTGTGTATAGCCAGAAGGAGAGGTGGGGAGTTAGTCCCCATTCCTTCCCATAGGGGTTTGACAGCTCATTAAGGCCGTGGTAGCCTTGTTGACCACTATGGCGATGTGAGGTGCAGTTTGCTAACGACCACGCTCTCCTTTGGTCATGTACTCGGCGCCAGCTGTTTCACCTTGACTCGGATTTCGTTCGCCTTACTGTTATGTGCCAATTTCAAAGTTTCGTTAGGAGTACTGAGATTTACTTCCCGAAAGGTCATGTAACGAACTGTTAATGTGTACAAAGGAAAATAATTCGTGGCATAAATAGTCGTATAAATAAGAAACTGCGCATGCGCATATGTGATGGTTACTGTGTGCGATGTGTTTGCCTTTGCTAATGACATTTCTAGTTTTCGATGTTTTTCTAGAACTACTAGAATCATCTATAGTTAACATTTCAATGAAATATCTTCATAAATAAGGAAGTGGGCACTGCGCAGAAAGCGCATAGACTGCGCATGCGCATATCTAATGTTTGCAATATGAGATGTTTGCCTTCAACAGAAATATTGATTAAAATTTCAAAAAGATATTTCGACAAATAAGACATCCTGCGCATGCACACATTAATCACAATGTGTGATATGTTTGTTTTTACTTGAAGCACCTGACCCAAGAAAAGTCTTGACCATTAATGTGCGCATGCGAAGTCTTTCTTATTTATAATTATATTTAGTTTAAATGTTAACCGCAGATGCTTCTGGTATAGGTAAACATATCACATATAGTAAAAATCAGATGTACGCATGCGCAATGGCAACTTTCTTATTTAACCAAAAATGGTTCTAGCAAAAGCAAGCATATCAGATATTGTGCGTGATGCGCATACGCAGATTGTGCAGAAATTAACATTCATTTGTAACCGTATCAAAATTTAATTCTTTTCAGGAGGTCTCACATTTTACACAAACGATGATCAACATCGGACACGTTTTCTACGCTCACGAAAATGGTAGCAACGCCGTCTCGGTAGATCAAGTCAGTTTGAGGGTGAGATGTAAGGATGCGGTGAACGTCACGCAGCTAAATGTCTGGATGCTGCCGGCAAGCTATTGGGATCCGTTAATACTAAAAAATTCTCGGCTATTGACAGTTGAAGAATCGACTAGCGCCGTTATTGACAGTACAATTTTGGAGGTACTCTCAAATAGTTGATTGAACAAAATTTTAATTCTATTGCAGGTGTCACAATCGAGTGATGTACCGGCAGGGGCGATTATGTACACAATTACCGAATATCCCCACAATGGTTATCTCAGTATTGTACCAGTGGCAGACAGTGAAAGTAACGAGCCTTTAATTGTGACAGTCTTCACTCAGGCTCTAATCAACGAGAATCGGCTTGTATATGTTCAGTCGCGATCCAATCAAACTACAGATACAATCGGGTTTAACGTTACCAACAGCATGGTGTGGCTAAGCGGTGTCAACTTGGATATACAAATAATTCCTGAACATTTGTATTTGGGTAGTAATGTGGTGAATGTCAACGAAGGTGGCAAAGTTGTCTTAACCGGAAATCATATTTATGTACAAACAGAGTATTTTAAATCAAAAGTTACCGATTACGTAGTAGTCAAACCGCCATTACATGGGGTGCTGGAAAATCGAGACCGGAATCACAATCTTGGAAATTTTAGCCACGAAGAACTAATTATCGGCACTGTACAGTATGTACACGATAATTCTGAAAATTTGCACGACCAATTCACTGTTCTTGGTATAACTGATAATAAAAAGAGCATGCCGTTAGTAGTGGACATCAACGTTACTTCAGTTAATGATCAAATACCAATGATCGTAAATAACACTGGACTGACAATGTGGGAGGGCGGACTTTCAGTCATCACCAATGAAATGCTGTGTAATTTTCCTCATGCTTGAGATTGTAACGTTGACAAGTTTGTTGCAGCTGCCGTTGATCTTGACACTCCAGCAGACTCGATAGTGTTTCAAATCTTGGGCTGTTGGTGGGGGAACGTCTCAATAGTATCCGAGCCAGATTCATCACTTCGTTTTTTTACCCAAGAACTCATTAATCAAGAGGTCATCGTATTTAGACACCAAAGTGAGTTATTACGCAATGTACTTCTCATGCAAATTTTTATTTGCAGATGGAAGCGCCGCAAAATTTACATTTAATATTAGCGATGGTTTACATATCGAAGGCAGTTATACATTTGTAATTAGAACAAAACCCGTTCAACTGAAATTAGTCGAAAAATCCGTTCTGCACGTTTTTCCTCTACAAAAGAAACTAATCACCTCCAAGAATTTGCTGGCAACAGTATCAGATAGAGATCGAAGCATATATTTTCGAATTATTCAGTTTCCGCGTTTGGGTCGCCTAATCGCGCGCTCTAGTAAAAAGGACAACGTATTTCAACTGACAAATGGATTTACGCAGTCCGATATAAATGATGGAAAAATTTTTTATGAGCACACTCATCCTTTCGAAGATCTGTATGCCGATGATTCCTTCACTTTTGATATAGAATCTCATCTTGCTGCTCCCTTAACCAATCAGGTAAGATTCTTGATAATTGTAAACTGAGGGTACTTTGATACATTGGCCCATTTATGTTGCATGTTAGCTGTGTTTGCTGTACAGAAGTTATATTCTTCACGTTCTTTGCTCTTTTGCTAGATAGGTCTTTACGACCTATCACCATCGTGTTGTTAGCAAACGCCGTTTTTGTATTGTTTTATCGTTTGTCATTTTTTTTTTGCTTGTAGTTACACTGAGAAAAAACTTTGATAATGGCAAGTGAAAATTTATTATTGCTAAGTAAAAAATTCACTTAAATAGGCGCCAAGTAAGCTGTTTACTAATAGCAGCAGAAAATTAGTTCATAAAACTATTCACTTGCCAGTAAAATAATTAGTTTATAACAAGAACAGAATTACCAGCAGCAACTTAGTTTATTAGTAGTTAGTGAATTAGTTAACTAACTACGGAAACTTTTTGTATAGTGCGTAATAAATAGTTCACTTGTCGTTAATAAATCTTTCATTAACAAAAAAAACAAAAGTTTCTTATTGCAAGTATTTTTTTTCACTTACTTTAAGTACGGTATTTACGTTCCACAGTAAAGTTAATATACTTACTGCAGTTGCATCATTATGCTGCTGTTGGCACTTATTTGTTTACTTTACCAAATTTTTTTGTATATTATATACCTATCATAAAGCGTATAGGTACGATACATTTTGATATCCAATAAAATTTGACCCATTATAACTTTATATTTTTTGGATGGTACAAAATAAATCAATTTTAAGTAATAAAAAACTAAAACATTTATTTTATACCAGAAAATAACACATGATACCTATGACAAAAAACGTTATGTAGTTATACAAAGGTATTTCATTGTAAATACACCTATAGCTAAATTTATAATAATCGTATACTAAGAAATGCTATCCTTAATTTCTAATGCAATTATAAATTGCAATCCTAAAAAATGGTAATGAACTGTCCACCCTGAACAACTGAAATAATAAGATGTTCCAACAATTCAATGTCAGTGGGTAGGATACACCTTCTAATATCAGTGGAAGTAACTTCAAAAGCATAAAAATGTTCATTAAAGGTTACAGTTTGCAATTCTCTGTAAACAAACAAAATTTGTTGCGACAGATTTTCAATAATGTGAGTAACGATTCCAAACAACGGTTGATCTTCATTTCTAATTAAAATTATACTTTCTTCGCGAAACATAACGTTGTTAATAGTAACATGCTTTAGTAAGCTAACATTGTCAATAAAATTTTCAAACTGATTACAAAAAATTTCATTATAGTTCGGAAAAATTTCATTTATATTAAGTAGAGTATGCCTAATATTTACTTCACGTACATCACGAAAACCTCTTTGGTCTAAAAACCTCGAACACAACTTCAATTGATGTTTAATAGCAATCGACTGAGTGATGTTCACTCTCGATGATACAACATTTGCATACTGCTTTGACTCTCTATGTTTCGATTCAAAACGCAAGGTAGACATTTGCTGCAATGGACCTACCGTTCTAATAATTAAAGGGTAATGAAGTAAATTATGATGTTTTGGTTTTAAATTTAAGTGAAACAGATCTTGATAAAGTCTATGATGTTCAGACACTAAATTTTTCAATAAATTACATGTTTCCTCCAATGTATCAAAATGAAATTTTTGAGAGAGTACTATGGCAAGTATCCTTCTCAATAGAATGTACAATCTCCAATGATTATTATTCTTAGGGACTAATGAACCATATAAGAGGCCAAAGTATAAAACAAATGACTTCATCTCGGCACAACTCATTTTAATTTTCTTTTTTCTCAGAGTTTCTAAAGATATCAAAGGCGGTTTATTAATATTCTGTTTCCCAAAATTAAAATACTTTAGCTTAGAATTTATGGTATCAATTGAGATCAATTTTTCAACTAAAACGAAGTTGTGTAAAATTTCGACAAGATCAAATACTGCAACGCCTTCAAAAATGTCATGTGATATATCAACTGCAAAATTCTCACACACATGAAAGGATGAAATGTTATTCCAAATATATCGTTCCTTGATACCAGTAAGTGAAATATTATTTATTGCAATATCATTCTCATATTGTTCCTTGTTTCTTAATAGATGTACGCATTCTTCCAATTCCGTTTCACTTTCTTGTCATGATAACTTACAAAATACAATAAAAGTTTGCACGAAATGATTCTGTAAAACCTAGCATTGTATTTAGTCCCAAGTTGTCACCCAAAAACAAACACATACAAAAGTGTATTCTACTTATTTCATTTGGACCAGTAGTGACACTGACACCGTTTAATTCCAAATCGTTGCACAACTCAATAAATTTTGAAAATAATATCTCTGATCCAAAATCCTTTAAATCCGCACTGTGGAAAAGTAAACATAAAAAAATATTTTCCAATTGCGAACGATATTTAGGCGGTATAACCGGAACAGAACAGTACACAGCTGAAATTTTATGAATACCTGAGTGGGAACCTAAAGGATTCCCACTTTCATACTCATCAAAGTAAATAAATAATGGAAATATAAAATCAGATTCTTTTAAAGATGTATTATTTAGCTTATTTTTCCAAAATTTGGTTTGAATGATATTGCTCAAGTGTGGCTTTTTTTGTAAATCTTGTATATAAGCTACAGTCTCCTTTAATATAAAAGGTAACTCAAAAAATTTTTGTAAAACTTTGTCAATCGGAATAAACTGACTATTATAAATACGAGGCGTAGGTATATCATTTTTCATACTATCAAGTCGATCACCCACAATGCATGGCACAGGAGGTATGTAGCAATCTATTTTTTGAAGATACTGAAGGCATAGATAATCCGACTCAAAGCCGGAAAATATATTTTCTAATTGTGTGAATTGATAAAAGATATTTTCAGTTTTCTGGATATCAGCATTAGTACCGCCTAAAACTTGTAAAACATTCTTTTTTAAAATACTCAATGGCTCTTTTAACAAATTTGTAATATCGTCCACAACGATTCGTACATCCTTTCGTGAAAATGTTGTATCCGCATACATTTTTGCTATAAAACTAACCTTTTTTGAATTAATGAAGCTTTGAAAATGATCATCTTCATCATTATGATTCAAAGTATCTCGTGATGTAAGGTCTTCATTCAGTGTTGGCATACTACACTTTGAGTAAACAGTTTCTTCTTGAACAACTGAGTTATCCAATACATTAATTTCAGGCAAAGAAATACATTTCGTTAGTTCAGGTTGGCCATGTTCATTAGTAGTGTATGTGTGATTGCTGAGATGTTTTCGATAGGATTTGAGTGAACTAAAAGTTCTAAAACACTTCGATTCTGCACATTTAAAAATACTATTTTCATTACAACTATGAAGAATTTTTAAGTGAGTAATTAATGCCTTGGAGTTGCAGTATCTCTTAAAACATTTAAAACAGGTAAACATTATTGCGTAAACAGTTTTTTCTTTCTAAATAGTTAATATATAAAATCAAACATATTACAACTTTCCTAGATGAAAGTTTACATCTGCAATAACACATGCAACACTACTGCTTTTACTAGTAGCAGGCATTTTGAACACTAGTTCTTGTATAAATTGCCAAACATGTTTAGATTCCACGGGATATTCCAAATTCAAAGAGTGAAATACCTTAAACAGTAACTCGAAACACCTAATACTGGATTCGCACTTATAGGAGTGTTCGTTAATAATCAAATAAACCGTTTCGTTACCAATAGGACCAACAGCTGCACCAAATGGTTGAAACGGTATGTCGAGTTCCTCCAATTTCAGTTTTCTTTTTTCAGTTAATTCATTTAATTCGGATAAATTCTGAAACAATAAGTAGTGATAAAATAATAATAATAATAATCGTAATAATAATAGTATAACAATAGTAATGTACCGATGATCAACTACTCAAAGGGCGAACTCAACTCAAACTGAAAGTTTAGATGATCATTTTGAAATGACTTCTAGATATTTTCGAGATGAAGATTATTATTGCAATGCAAGCACATTAACTACAGGTATGTACAAACATTATACAGTAAAACTTACCGATGTATACACACAAAAGCTTTCTTGCACCTCTGCTCTCGACGGTCGCCAATTTTGAGATTTATTGTTCTTGTGCTTCTTAACAGTCAGTGGAGAAAATAAAAGGGGCAAACCCAACAATGCCTGCAATGATGTATCTGCAAAATATTTTCGTAAATAATTAGGTATAGTCTCAAGGGCACAGTACTCTTACCTCTATCTACTTGTTCAATGTTTATCTTCCTCTCCTCTATCTCTAATACAATTGCTTTGGCTACGTTGGGCCATTGACTATAAATAATGTCAATTTTTTGGGGGTATAGTTCATTAAAATCAGACTCAAGCTACAATTAAATAAATTCATAAATAGATCCATAAATAAATATATAGGTGTTACTCACTAATTCTAAACCGTAAGCAGACGAGAGAGCTGGAAAATCCTTAAATATTTTTTCAATTGTTGCGTTCTTGTAAAGTTTGGTCCTAGCTTGGAATGTCGATTCCCAGTATTCTAACACTTTTGGGTATGGTTCAACTGCTGCCTTCAAGAATGCTAGGTGCTGGTTGATTGTGGCATTTTCTTCTTCAAGATTCTCCTTTTCTTCGGTTTGTCGACCTTGAGTAGTGCTTTCAGCTAATCGCAATGCCGCCCTCAAATTAACAAACCGGGACCACAACTTCCCCCTCGCAGGCTGTTGCCGCAAACCTTTTTTGGAAGATGTGTAGGGAATGTAATAAGATTCGACCGCCTCGCCAGGGAAAATTCCCACAATTTCCGAAGCCACTCTCATAAAAGTAGCTGCTTTAATACTAAAAATAATAGAAATATAATTCATCATACGCAAATATATTCAAAATATAGGTACTTACTCTGTAGTTATGGCGTTTCGGTTCCTTAGGGAGATTAGCTCATTAACTATAATCTTGGAGAGTTTCTGTCTATGGTCGTTGTTTAATTTCCCTTTATGGGCCAAGA